CGTGCCGATGGGGAACTCCTAGCATTGTATATAGTCCTCTGGTCTATTGGATAAAACCTTTTCTCAGACCTATTTTCTAAATGTATATTGAGGAAAAATAAAGCTATTGGTTTTTCTTAAGGTATTTTGTATGTGTGTTTGTGCATTGTATACTGAAGAAATCAGAAGTTTGCTTTGACTAATTTTTTTTTTTTTAATATTTAAAAAGCAGGTTTATTAGGAAAAGGGGTAGAAAAGTAAAGTACAGGGCCTCCCCTGGGGGTGCAGCAGTTGAGCGCTGGGCTGCGAAGCTGCCCGTGGCCTCTGCAGTGCTGGTTTGATCCCTGACCACCAGGCGAGGGTCCCACATGGCGCGCAGACCTCTCCTGCTGTGCCCACTGCTCCCCTCAGCAGTGTATTTTGTCAGTCTGCCTGTTCTGTTCCCCACTCTGGTGAATTCTCCCACCCTCCCGTGCTTCTGACTGTACCCAGTGCTTGTGTAAATGAATAAATAAACCTTTTTTTAAAAAAAGTAAAGTACACTTGCATAGACAAGCGGGCAGGAAGAACTGCCCCAGGAAGGACAGGTTTGCTAAGAGAGTCCTGCATGGTTGTAGACGGGCAGCCTTGACAGGTCATGGACAGGCAGGAAGCTCCTGCCCCACAGCGGGAGAGAGCTGGTGAAAAGAGGCACCTGCATAGTCACAGATGGGCAATGGGAGTTTGCCTAATTTCTTTTTGAGCTATTGTGAATAGCTTTAGGAAAAATATTCCTCCTATTTTCTCAAATGGAAAAATAAAAACCCTAGAATTTGGTTTCAGTGAATGCTAATTCATTCTTAAACTTGAATATAAAAGGATTAACTCTTTTCTGATTTCTTCTTGGGAACACCTACCTGGTCCACCAGGGCCATGGCCTCCAGCCCAGTTGTGTCTCTCAAAGGGAAGTTGACATCAGGAAGAGCAGTCCCAAAGGGCCTCAGCTAGAAAAAGAAAATGGGCCTGTGATACTTTGTTAAAATTGAAGCAGAGAATACATAATCTTTTTGTGCTGCTTCATCTACATTCTGAGTTTTATTTTTGGTGGGCATCTGAGCACATTGTTGTCTAAGGGGGAGTGCACGCTCAATCTCCAACCACTAAAATAAAGCCCCTAAAACAAATCTCTTACAGCAATAACTTTCCAACTATTCATTCAACAAGATGCTAATTGTTTTTGAAAGAAAACAGCAGCATGTTTGGGACACATTGTGAGTTTATGTAAGATTCATAAAGGCCCCGACAAGCTTTGCCGTCACCTCACTAAACTCGGCATTTGCCCGACCAGAGTGCGGCCAAAGCTGCCTTCCGCTTCACCGTGAGGTCCGGTGCGCTGTGACTGGGGCTGCCTATGACAGCTGGGAAGGAGGAGCGGGCTCCAGACCGCCTTTTCCCGGCCCAGGAATGCCTCAACTAGTGAACAGCAGTGAATGGTTAACTACTAAGTGACACCACGAAAGCCTTCCCGGCTCTAAAATGCACAGCTATTTCCCACTGACCCCCGAGATCCAGCCACTCATCAGGAAAGGGTTTGTGGGAGATTTCAAAACATTTGATAACTGCTCTATTACATATTTTGCTTAGCTAAGTATTTCACGTCCAGCTCAGGTAGTTTATACTGCCAGGATATCTTAGGGAAGTATCTTAAAGGTCTTGAAGTGCCGCAGCACTTCTGGACGCCCCTGGAGCTGCCCCCCCGCCCTTTGACCTCCCTAAGCAGAGCAGCCAGACTCAGTCTGGCCCACCTTTCAGTGCTACTTTTCCAGATGCTTACCCCTTCCATAGGCGCAAGATTGGGAGCCATTCTGCAATGTCACCCCCTCTGCCTGTTTCTTGTCTCTCCCAAGGCCTCCTTGGTCTTCTCAGTCCTCCTAGAGTTAAGAATTTGCTTTTACTCCTACTAGCCTGATGCCTTTCCCCCCAGCTGTGCTGTGCCCTTCCCGCTGGAGTGCTAGTTTATAGTCTGTTTTGCAGACGGGAAGGCTAGGTACAGTTCACTACCTTGCTGAAGGTCACACGGCTCTTGAGAAGTCACCATTTGAACCTTGGTCCGATCCCAAGTTCATGCTTCTAATCGTTGCCTTCAGTTTGATAGTCAAACTGTCAACCTTTAAACTTCTAATCTTTCTCTCAAAAAATCAACCTAAGAAAAGCAAAAAACACAAATAGGACTTAACAGCTAGGAATCTGTAATTTCCTTTGATGGGTAAAGTCCTGGGTCTAACACAACTTTGCCCAGAGTCCATCTCTTTCCAAGACCAACAACCTTCTTAAAATAATAGCAGCGGGTGTTCGGGTTCCTCCTTTGTGCCAGACTCTGTGTAAGTGACATACTTTTAGTCCAGAACCCCATGAGGGAGATACTCCTGCCCATTTTATAGAAACAAGAACAGAGGTCGCACAGCTTGTTGTGTTTGAACCTATTTAGTATGATGCGTTCTAGGGACCCTTTCAAGAAGTCCATGAGGTCAAAACTACTTTCATGATGATACTAGGATGCAACTTGCTTTTGCTCGGTTCTTTCCATAGAGTAAGGTAGAATATTCTGGAGGCTACATGATGATGTAGCACTGGTGGCTAGTGGAATGTGTATTTGTTGGTGTTTTAAAATTTTCACAGGTTAATTTCTAATAGGGTAAATCCTGACAGTTATAAGCAACAAAAGCATAATGCTCTGAGATCCTTAATATTGAAGGGTATAAGGGTTACGAGGCCAACCTCTGGTTTACAATTAGTCTGACTGCCTGAGGTCCACATTCAGACCACCTGGTTCTTGGTTTCTTTGAGCCGTCATTTAAGGGTCTGTCAGATCTGCATTTCCCATTACTCTACGGGTGTGTATGTGCACACAGACTTCTATCCCAAACAGAGTAGCACCTTCCAGAAAGCAGGTATGGTTTCCTAAGCCTCCTTGCCTTCTCCCGGGTTAAGTGACATGTCTGTTTGAGTGACCCATGAACAAAATAGCAGGCCTAAATCCAGAGACTAGCGAACACCCAGGTTTAAGGACTTTCAGATCCCTAAGGGGGGAAAAATGGGGCATTTTTCTGATAACTTATTAGTTTGGAAAGTAATGGGGGGTGTGACTTATCTATCCCAGAGTTTCCCATTAGCCTACACTTAAAAATTTTTTTAGGTGTAGAAATAATGATCTTTAGACTAAACCAACAATATTACCCCAAGCTTTTTAAATTAATTCCAGGGCTTTAGCACCTGCGCTCAGGATCTAGTGCTGCTTCACCTATAAATTCACTCACCTGTTCAAGCCAGGCTGGGGGAGCACCTCCTGGAGCTGGCACTGGGGCAGGGACAGAGCTTATTTTTTCATCTCCACGGCTGAAGTTTCTTCTTGTGGCTTGTGGGGCTATTCACCTCAAGTTGTATTTGTCACCTAGAGCCTGTGGGTCCCAGTTACGCATTATTTTAATATGCCAGCTTTCCAAGAACTGACACGATGGCAGAAGTAGGAAAGAAGTGGACTGTCCGGGAGTTCACTTACCATGGCGTGGGCTCCCCTCAAGCGGCTGCTGGATGTGACCTACATGCGGCCGAAGCCGTGGCGGTGGTGTCAGAAGCCGGGCCTGCAATGAAAACAGCACCTGTGGCTGAAGACGCACCTGCTAGACGTGATCCTCTTGTCTCAGCGGGCAGGGAGCGCGCAGCACTGAAAATGGCGAGAACTTCAACCAGGTGGAACTCAAGCCCGAGACGACGGGCTACCAGCCGCAGGCCAAGCAGCAGGGCGGGCCCACCGCTCCCGCTCCGCCCCTGCGCAGAGCCTGTTCCGCCAACGAAGGCGTAGTTTTCTCTTTAAAAAAACCCAAACAGCCAGTCATTGAATTAAAAATAGAGCTGACTCCCCTACACCGCTTTGGCTTGAAAAATGTGTGGCATTAGGGGCAATTATGAAAAGGCCACACATTTTTATTTAAGGGATTTCACAAGTGATTCCTTCCACTGCCCCCTATCGCTTTCTCCCCATGGACTTGGGGATCTTAAAATGACAAAAAGGGGTGTGCTGTTCAAACCCTGCTTCCCCAGTAGCTTAAGAGTGATTATGGCGACTGGAAGGAATGACAAGTTTTCCCTACACCCGCCCCCTTATGATGGACATTACGTTGTCTCTACCTCTTCACTGTCACTACAAGAAACATGGCGCTGGCAACAAGGGCCGCCTGCAAGGAGCACGGGCTGAGCCACTTGGCAACAGGACTGTTTGACTCACCAGTGCTGGAGGCTACACGTCTGACATCCAGGTCGCAGGGTTGGTTCCAGGTCTCCCTCCTAGGCTTGGGCTGGCTCTTCTCCCTGTGTCTGTGTCCCAATCTCCCCTTTTTATCAAGACATCAGTGGTGTTAGATCAGGGCCTGCCCTAATGATGATCTTACCTGCTGAGACCCTATTTCCAGATAAGGTCACATACTGGGCAGGGGTGGGAGAGGTGGGGGGGCACTTCAACACCTTTTGGTGCTGGGGGACACAATTCAACCCATAACAAACACCACGAGAGAACCAGATGGTTGAAAGGCCTTTATTTATTTAGGAGGCGAGGGAGGGACACAGGGGGCGGGGCCATCACCTGCAGGGAGAGCGTGGGGCGGGCCGCAGGGGCTGAGCGAGCAAGCAGAAACACGGCGTCTCTAGCTGGAGAGGAGGAGTGCACGTCGTAAGTACCTGGTGCAAGTCTGTAATCAACCTAGCTGATGGGTAAGTACAGTGGATACTACTTAGTACATTCATACATGTTTCTAACATCGGATTTTTATATATACAGTATATGATCTGTTTTTATAAATGTACAGCTCGAAGAAAATGATCCTCCTTGTAAGGTACAGCATTAAACAAAAAAAACCAACATGGGCCAGCCACATTCCAACGGAAGACCCAGAGAGAGCGAGGCCGACAGCCCGGCCCAGGCCCCGGCCCCAGCCTGGTGGCCCGACGGGCCAGGCAGCATGGAAAGCAGCGCCCCGCCCCCCCGCACCCGCGGGCGCAGCAGGCCGGCTGCCCCCATGTCTGTACGGGAAGCGCCCGCTCATGGGGAGCCCCGCTGCGGAGGGCCGAGCCCCCCGGAGCGAAGGCAGAGAGGAATGTGTGGCGGGTCAGGGAAGGAGGGAGGAGAGAAATGAGCTCTTCAACTAAAGGCACTTGGTCAGCGGCGGCCGCTGGCAGCGGTTCCGGGGTCTGGTGAGCGGTGGGGTCCATTAGGATAGAGCAGACCGGGTGCCTGTGCACCCCACCTGTCCTCTCACCAGGTTTAAATACAATAAATAAATCTCAGCGGGTGGTGGTTTTACCCTCCTGGGCTCCTAGGACAGGTTACCTCGTGGGGTCATTTGCGGAGTCACACTCCGCTGTCCCCAGCCCAGCTGCTCGATGTCCTCTGAGGGGAAGGTGCCAGAATAGCTCCAGGCCCTGGAGAAGCGGCGGCTCGCTAGGCACCAGAGGAGTTCCCAGCTGTCCCCTTCCCATCTGCGCCTGGAGCCGCTTCCGCCTCGGGTGTCATGGTGCCTGTGTGCCTCAGATCTTGGTCACGTAGTTGTTGGGGAACAGGCCCTGCTTGCCTCGCAGTCGACCCGTCCACCAGCCAGAAGGATCTGCAGGGAGACGAGGCGGCCAAAGTGAAGGCGAGCAAGGCTGTGGTGGACAGGCACCCTGCCCCACGGGCTCACCACACCACAACGGTGATTTGGCTCCATCCGTGTTCTTTTTGTTGTACTGATTTTATTTGCAGTGGAAAAATAGGCTGTAAAAAGTCGCCCCTTGCCACAGCACACACCCAGAGGGGCCGCTAAGGGTCTCCTATACAAAGAACTTGCCGCCCAGATATGTGGCTTTGCTGGCAGCCTCCAGCTGTGGGCCCTGCAGAAACTTTCCCGTCTCTGGGGATGCTGACGGCCCCTATCTGGGGCCAGTGCTGAGCCAGGACCCAGGAGCTTCAGTTGCCGCAGCAAAGGGCCTGCTCTGGAATCAAGACTCTCTGCTTGCTTTGGGGTCTGAGGGCCCCCTAATCCTGCTTCCTCCACTTGCCTTCCCCAGGGTTAGTTTCCCGGTGCACAGTGCATGCCCCTCCCGAGGAACTCAAGCCTTATTTCCCAGATAATATTAGTCCCTTCACCAGTAGTATTTGGTATTTAGTCTTTCATGCTGTTCTTGTGCAATTACAAACACCAGTCAGTTTTAAGCAGAAAACAGGCCATGTCTATCTTATTATTCTACATCTTGCTTTTCAATACTTAACAGAGAAAAACTTCCAATATCTGAGGCCTCATTTTTTTTTAAACAACTGCATTGTACGCTAGAATTCCCTCACTGCTGGACACTTGTTCCTAATTTTCCACGACAATGACAATGCAATAAACGCACACACAAACACACACGCAATCTTGGGCCTGCCTGCAAGTACTTCTATAGGATAGATTTCCTGCATCAAAGAATATGGGTTTTCTATTACCTTTTAGTAAGAAAAAATATCTTTTGTAACAGGCAATACTTTCAAAAGTATAGAAGGAGAAGCCGTGGGGGCAACCGGTACCCATTTCTTGTACTTCCTTTCAGAGATACTTCATGTTAGACAAGCAGTATTTATTAAAATGAGGGGCAGTGTTTGTTCTGCACTCAAAAAATATACATTAACAGTATAAATAAAGGTCAGTTCCTATGAGTAGATAAAGAAGTGCCACCCTTTCTGCAGCTACTGTTCATAACATTTGTCTATTTTTCTCTCACTTATTATTCTTGTTAATAAGGAGTTTTTTATATATTAGTGAACTCATGAGTTGCAAATCTCTCTCCTCCAATTTGTTACTTTTTATTATATCTTAAGTAGCTGCAGCAATGATCTATTATTTAATTTCTCGTTTTCTTCTCACTTTGAGGAATCCTTCTGCACACTGACATTATTAAAACAGAAATTTCTCTTTACTTCCAGGACTTTTATGTCCCGTTTCTTCTTAGTTTCCCTCATTTCTTTATCTTTTTGTTTCTTTCTCTCCCCAGTCCTCACCACAAATACTACTTCCTTCAGGGTACTTTTTAACGTTCTAAGTCACGAGTCAGCTTTACCGTGCTTTACTGTGCTACCAGAAGCACTGATGTTTGAGCAGATATACATTCTATTATATTCTAAGATCTTCTCTTCCAAATTAATAAAGCACTCAGCCAAACCCACAGATGGCTTTTATAATAGATGTTATAGGTTGCCTCCCTGGCTTCCATTCCTCCTACCCTCATCACGTGGAAGTCATGAAGTCTGTGTGTGGGGTGACCTTCCTCGGGTCTTCCGGGACAGTCTCCATGAGGTCTAACTCACTCTACATACAACTTGATCTTGCTACAGAGATTAGCTCAGGGACAAACACATGACCAAATTTGGTCCAATAAGAGTAAAACCTAAGCCTTTTCTCTTCCGGTTAGGAGAGATTTCAGAGAGAATGCAAATTTTAGACAGTTTGACCCATCAGTCGGGAGCTGCTGCAGCCATTTTATTATCATGAGGAAAAACAGGTAAAGAAAGGAGAAAATACAGAGAAGAAGGCAGAGCTGAAAGAAGCATTATAAAAGGAAGTCTTGTTCTAACTGAGCCCGAAGCCTGACCTACCTCTGCAAGTTTCATTCAGAGAAGGCCTTAAATTCCCCTCCTGTTTTAGTTTTTACAACTCTGTGACTGTATGCTTTCTGGAAGGTTGTCCCACCAGCCGGCCATGCACTTACCTTCTTTGATAATATCGATAATGTCATTGGCATTGAAGCTGAGTTCATCTGTGTCCTGAGCATCGTAGGCGTACAGGGCCTTGCACTGTGGCACCTGAGGTTTGGGCTTGGGCTGGGGCTTGGGCCGGCCCCCCGCCGGGGTAGGTCGACTAGTTGTTTGTCTGCGGACCCTGTGGAGAGAGTGGAGGCTGGTGAGAGATGGGACCCAACAAGGGGTGGCAGCAGCGGTTGGTGGTCTGGGGTGTGGGGCCCCCACTGGCCATCTCCAGTCAAAATCCAGCTCCACTCTCAGAAGGTGTATTGCTCCCTAAAGTTTCTCTGAAAATAAAAAACACTTTCCCTGAAAGGTGGTTGTGTAAGGTAGTTCTCAGTAAATATTAGCTGCTGTTATTGTGTCCCCAGCATAGAAGGAAATATGGAAAAGACACATTCATATGAAAGTGTGTAAAGCATATTTAAACGCCAGGAGACAGTCCCGCCTCTATCCCTCCCCCTAGTTTTGGAAACAGAACTCTTGCTGGTGCCATGGAAGCCTCGGGCACCGCCCCTCAATGTCCACCCTTTCTGGAATCAGCAACCATGACCCTGCATTTTGCATGACTAACTCTGCTTCTCCCGGGGGCTCGACCGCAGATGTCGGATCCCTAAGCAATGAAGTGTGCCTATTTCAGCGTCAAAGAACTTTCATTCCATCACTTGCTCCATTTCTGAGCTGTTCCCTGGTGCATGTATTACAGTTCATTCACGTTCTCATGTCCTTTTACTAGCCCATGGCAGGAAGACGCCACAATTTTTCATCCAGTCCATTGTTGACGGTTATGTGGGATGATTCTAGATTTCACTAGTCCAAAAAGTGCCACCGAATATTCTTATGCGAGAGCTTATCCACGCGGTTTCTCTACTCCAGCACTGATGACATCTGGGGCTGGCGAACCCCGGTGGAGGAGCTGCTCTGCACGCTGGAGGGGACGCAGCAGCCTCCCTTGGCCTCACCTCCTTGCCCAGGGCGTGGGCATCAGCGCCGTCCGAGCGCGGGAGCGCTAACCCAGGCCTCCGAGCTTAAATGGAGTCTTTTTATCTATCTTGCCTCCAGTCTCCACGCAGACATTGTCTCGAAGGCGTGTTACTATAGTTTTCTCCTATTTGTTACTATTATACCTGGAACAATGATCAATGATGCTCATAATGTGTTTGCATTTTGCAAAAAAACCCCACAAAATAGAATTTTCCCTCCACTTTGCTCAAGGATAAACCAAAGCAACGGCTACGTTCATCTGCTCACAAAAGAAACGTAAGCCTGAAATTTCATCTGCGAGACTGCAGTAAACATTGTGGGGCCGGCTGTCAAGTCTGGCCTCACACCTACAAAAGGAAGAAGGGCAGGGCGGGCCTTTCCTCTGGCTGGAGTTCTGGAAGGAAGAAACACACCCATTTTTGGATTGTGCTCTCAGGAGGCTGGAGCCCCACTGTCCTCACGGAGCCGCTGTGATAACTGCTCAGGTCCCCGTTTTCCTGTCCCCGCTCCCACTCACTCCCCAGCAAGCACGTTCATCCAGAGGAAAGGCATCTTGCAGATCATCAGCGTGACATCACCTTCTCCCCAGTCTTCTGGAAATCCCCATTCCCTGCTTGAGAAGTGCTTGCTTCTCTGAAAGCTGGCCGGGCAAGCAAGCTTTTAATCAAGCAACCTCTATAGCAGGGATGTGTCAGCATTTGGTTAAATAAATAAGAGTCATTAACTTGGATACCAGAAGTCATCTGACTTCCCAGCAACAAGGAATGGGCAGGGTGGGGGGGGGTGCTTATTAGAGCACAGGGAGGGAAGAAAGCCTGGCAGTTTCGGGGAGCAGGGGCAGGTACACCCGTGCACATATGCACACACAACACGCACTCACAGAAGGACATAAGATGGGCTCTCTTCATGTCCCAGGGGTAAACCCCTCACCATTAGTGCAGGCTGATGAGGTCCTAAGAGTACAGTGACTTAGGTGCAAGCCCCACAGAGGGGGCCTCTTAGGGCAAGACAGAGACAATGACCCTCTGAAAGGCAAGACTCTCCCTGCAGCCATCCAGGAGTCACCCCCTCACACTGCCCTCCCTCTCTGGTTATATCCTCTCAGTTCCTCCTCCTTCACATCTCTCCTAAGAGTTGCTTCATTTCTAGGCTCCCAGAACATCACCCGGCTCGGTTTTTATTAGTTCACATCCTCCACTGAAAATCCTTCTAACAGCTTCTCTCTGCTCTTGGGAAACAGGCCGAAATCCTTCAGGGGGTCTACAAAGTTCCTGCCAGGTGCCCCCTCCTCCGTCCCAGTCCCTGTCCTGCCAGGCCACACTAGAACCTTCCTCCCGTCCTTCACAGAAGTTTCTCAGCCATGGTGGGGTTACGACTCCTGTGCACAGACTCCTAGCTTACATCAGATTTGCAAAGACACAATGAAAGACACAATGCCTCCCCCCAAAAGCATGAACAAGCAGGATGCCAGCTCTCATGACTTGTGTCCAATGTTGCATTGGAAGCTCTAGTCAAAGCAATTAGGCAAGAAAAGGAAAATGCGTACAGGCTGGGAAAGAGTGAAAAGAGATGATCTTGCAGAGAGAAAAATCCTAGGGAATGCACAATGAAACCGTCAGCGCTAACAAACGAGTTCAGCAGGACGACAGAACACGAGATCAGTGCCCACGAATCAGCTGCATTTCTGTGCTGTCATTGAAAAATCAGAAAACCAAACTGAGAAAACGATTCTATCTATAACATATGAAAAGAAAACTTAGCAATACAGTTACCAAAGCACTAGAAGTAGGATTCTATCTATAGGAAATGTCCAGAAGAGGCTAATTTATACTGTCAGAAAGCGGATTAGCGGTTGCCAAGGGCTGGAACTGGCAGCTGGGGGACTGACTGCTAATGGGGGAAAGTTTTCTCTTGGAGATGATGAAAATGTTCTAAAGTTATATTATGGTGGTGGTTGCACAATTGTGTTAATACACTAAAAACTGCTGAGTTCTTCTTTATATGGATTGGTTTTATGGTATGTCAGCTATCTCGAAAAACTACTTTTTAAAAAAACAAGTAAACTGCACATGCCCTTGGGCTATGCAGCACTTGCTGTTACCTGGGGTGTCCCAGCTGCCCAGAGTAGCTGCCAGGAGGTGGGGAGGGCCCCTCTAAATGGCCAGGTGAGCACAGCCACCAGTGGTCTTTGATCCCAAGATCAGAGGCTACTTCCTCAGGTAAGTCAAAATGAAACCAATCAAGATTACTCAGAGATTTTGGGGTCCCCTGCAGATCCACAGCAAGAGTTGGCTTGATTGTCCCAGCCCTTGACGCCTGCACGGCGCTGGCAATGTAAGTGTCTGGTTGTTTAGCACTTGGTTGAATGGGGTTCGTAGCACTTCACAGCTGGGAGAGTCCAGGGTAGGTTAGAGCTGGGGTGTTCTTGTTGGGGAGCAGAGCATGATGAGGTGAGTAGGAACGAGGGAAGGGATGGCAGAGGTGGAGAATCACTCTGCATTTTGCATTAGGAAGAGTAGGTTCAGGCAACACTGTGGCGGGGCTCTCTGGATCCCCCTGTTGAAACGTCCCCAGGGACCAGAAAGGGCTGCAACTGCCACGGCAGCTGATGCAGGGCAGGCTCTTCGGCAGTGGGCCAGTCACAGCAAAGTCCTCCTCACAGGTCATCCCGCCTCATTCTCACTTCCCAGCATGTCTTCACTGTTCTTGGAGGATCTTCTGGCAGCCCCTGCCCACAGCTCCATGAAAATCAGCTCTGCTGGTTGCCTGCGCCCTACGGGGCACCGTGCTAGGCGTTTTCAGACATCATTCCAGTTAACCTCCGAACATTTCTGTGCAAAGACTGATGCCGATTTCCTGCTGGTTTCATCACTGGCAGCAGAATGGCCTTGCCATAGGCCCCCAGAGCAGCAGCTGCACTGATCTTTCTGGTCCCTTGGACTGGCTTTGCTCCTCTGGTCTGACCCCATCCCAGCCAGCACCACTCATTTGTGTTCCGCCTTCAGATCGTTTTCACCTCCTGCCACATCTCTGGTAACCCTCGCCTGCAGGAGAACTTGTGTCCCGATTCTGCTGATTACCCCACTGGGCAGTAGGGCCTGGGCCTGCCTGTGCTCATCGCTGTGGCCTCAGTCTACACGTCCTGATGGAGTGACAGAGATGGCAGGAGGGGAGACCCTGGCTTGGGAGTCAGTGCGTAAGGTTAGCATATAACTTGGGTACATCACTCCACCTCTTCAGGGATCAGTGTCTTCATCTGTAAAATGTGAGGATTCAGGCTAATGGCCAACAGGCATACGGAAAAATGTTCAACATCCCTTACCATCAGGGAAATCAAAACCACAGTGAGATACCACCTCACACCAGTGAGAATGGCACATATCAAAAAAACAAGCAACAACAAATGCTGGCGAGGATGTGGTGAAAAAGGAACTGGTGCGAGTGCAAACTGGTCCAACCACTATGGAAAGTTGCCCGGAGGTTCCTCAGTCTACTAAAATGGAGCTACCATACGACCTGGCAATTCCACTCCTAGGGATCTACCCAAAGGACACAAAAACATTGATCCAAAAGAACACCCGTACCCCTATGTTTATTGCAGCATTATTTACAATAGGTAAAACCTATTACCTATTACCAAAACCTAAAACCTATTACCAAAATAGATGACTGGATCAAGAAGATGTGGTACATATACACCATGGAATATTATTCAGCAATCAAAAAAGATAAATTCATGCCATGCAAAGCAACATGGATGGAGCTAGAAGGAATTATGCTCAGTGAAATAAGCCAGAAGGAAAAAAAAATATTGATGGTTTCACTTACAGCAGGAATATAGGGGAACAAAATTAAGACATCAGTGTAAAAAAATAACAATAGTACAAAACACAACAAAACAAAAACAGACAATTATAAACCAGAGACATCTTGCAGGGGAGGAGGAGGGAGCACAGGGGACTGAGGTGATGGTGCACGGGTGACTTGGGGAAGGAAACTCTATGGGGACTGCACCTGAGGGGGTGGGGGGAAGCAAATATTGTTTAAAAATTAACAATAATATGGGCCTCCCCTGGTGGTGCAGCGGTTGAGCGCTGGGTTGCCAGGCTGCCCGCAGCTTCTCCAGCGCCAGTTCGATCCCCGGCCACCGGGGAG